AATAAAGGGCTAGAAGGGGGTAGAAAGGCCAGTGGATGCATGGTTACCATCTGCTCCTGACTCCCAAGCTGTCAGCCCCTTCCTTGAACTCCAGGACAAAACTCAGGGCTACCCCACAGCCCCCAAATCCTCCTTCATCCCTGCTGAGAGCAGTACATCCCCTTGTGCACAGTTCCACCCTCCCAGGTTGCTACCTAAACACGTCTTCTGGTTTGGGGTTCAAAAATCTGATTCTCTCTCAGTCCACTTCTGCCTTCTCCCTTCTCTGTGAGAAACTCTCAATGTCCTGAGGGAATTCACAGTTTCCCTCTCCGCCTGTCTTCACAACAGCGTCCATTTTGTTACAAAAGCCTTTGTCTCTGTTTTAAAAGCCTGCAGTTGTTGCTGACATGCTAGTTCGCACAAGATGCCCTGATCACAGCAGCTCTAGTTCTCAGGCTTGTTTCTCCAGATTTACAGGGATGGCAGTTCCAAGCAAGGCAGGCAGGGAGGGCGAGAGGAGGACCCACTGACGCTAGCACTTTCCCGCATAAAATGAAAACTTGAAAGTGGGAGGACTGGCATGTGGGGAAGGCTGATCATGTCTGATCCCCTGTGGGAAAAGCAACTTGCATAAGGTCTCATACTGAGTTAGTTGAAGAGCCATGAATAGAAATTAGGGCCTTGTCCCAAGGGCCGAGGCAGATCTGCTGTGCCAAACACAGATGGCTCAGTTTATTCCCTTCCTCTGATGATTTTGCATTTTCTGTTTCAGGGAACCCATTGGAAAGAAGAAGTCTGGTAAGGACGTTTTATTCCTTCTCTCTAATTTCAGGGAGAGGGAGGGAAGAGCTTACATTACCAGCTTGGGTACTACTGTTGAGCAGTTGTAGCACTGAGAGCGGGTGGGGAGCGGTTGCTAGACATCTTCAGAGTTCCTTCCAGAGTCACAGAAGTGGAGTGAGCACATTTTGCTTGGATCTTTCCTTTCCTGAGATCCCTAATTTCATTGCTGCTTCAGTCTAGGGAGAGAGCAGGGCCGGGTATCAGTATGAACAGGAGGATGCTTTCCCAACTGCTCGTCCACACGTTTCATTGTGAACTACTTGGAACCCCAGTTTTAGGCTTTTCTGTGGGTACTTCATCAGTCATGCCTCCAAAGGTACATTGGGACTTCCAAAGACAAATATATCTCCCCTGCTCTCCAGGGGAATACTGCAGGGTGGAGAGAAGGGGAGATTCTCTGGTGGCCTTACAATAGCAGAGCAGCTCTCTTCTGCTTCCCTTGGCAGCCCCTGGCCTTAGGATATGCCAGGGTGATTTTGGTGGAGGGAAGGGGAGTGGCAGGAGCGCGTTGTTCTCCAGCTATGCTGGACTACAGGAATACTGATTAATCTAACCCTTCCTACCAGCTCCTTCATCTCCACATTTGTTTCCCTCCTCCCTCACTCTCTCTTTCTCCATCGTTTTGTTCCTCCATTAGGGTTTATCCAGAGAACGGCTTCTTACCTTCAGAGAGGTAGTAACAGCTGCTCACCACTTGGCCCTTGCTCTTGCTTTGCCTTCCTGCTGGGTGGCATCCACTGTTCCTGTGTGGGGAAATCAGGGTCCCTTGCAAGAGGCTATCACATACCCTGGGGCTCTGTTTCTTGGCTGGCAGATATGGGGGAGGGGCTGAAGAGAGAAGGTGCACTGGACTTTGTGACTATCCTCTCGGGGGACATATAGCTGATACTGGAGTGCCAGTAGTTCTGAGGACCTCAGTATGGAGTGTGCAGGTTGGAAGGCATGCCCTGCATGTCGCAGGCAAAGGATGAAGAGGAGCCTGTCTAGGGCTGCAAATGTGCGACTACAAATGCCATTCAGTCCCTGCTCCTAGTGAATTGGCCTGGGATTGTGCAATATTGGGTGAGTTATCAGAGCTTCCTGATAAATTGTCCCCCTCCCCATCCCCCAACTTTGGACAGAGTTCTGTGCCAATGTGATATGTCCCTCATGGGAACAGAGGTGGAAACCATTTGCCTACGGGAGCATTTTAAGGGTTTGCTTGGAGTTCCTGGAAATTTGGCAAGGGGAATCTTCAATTTGTGGTTGCAAGGGGGTGGCTACCTTACAAATTTTGGATTGCGGGGGTTATATAGAAGGACAGTAGGCCATCCAAAGGGAAGATGTAAATATTAGCTGAACATTCCCCCTAGAATAGGTTGGAGTTTTTGGATTGAGAGCTGGGACCTCAGTATCAGAGAGAATGGTTTTCAGGTGAAGAGGAAGGGTACAAGAAAGACACCGAAAGACTGAGTCCCCTTTTATTCAGAGCCTAAGGAGAACAGAAAATACTGCTCCCACATGAGACTTGATAGCCTCTCTCTCTCTCACACCGGGTACCCACCGTTGATTCTGGGCTTTGGGGCTTTTATCTATCATTCCTTTAGTCTTGTTTTCTGCATACTGGTTGCGTTTGTAGCTTGTTGTACTTTATGAAAAGTTTCCTAGCCTCCATTTAATGGGATCAGATTCATGGAGGAGTATTAAAAATTCCCTACTCAAAAATTGCCTGACCAAGCCATGGCAGACAGAACCTTGGCCCCTGGTAAAACAGGATTTGCTCTCCTTGTGGACAAGTAATGTCTGGGCATTATTTTGGTTTATTCTCTAGCATAAAATTAGGTTCATAATCAAGCTCTGCAGTGATGGGGTTTCTTTTGGCTTTGACTTCTGCAAGGTGTGTGTCTCAAAATGGTACCCAGCCTTGTGAGTTATGCAACAACTTATTATCAACTGCAGATGCTGTTCACAACTCCTTAGATAATTCTCCACACCAAATCAATGGGATGTGAGCAGACTCCATGAGGAATGGGGGTGGGGATGTATAATAAGGCTGTGGCCTTGGTTCAGATGATTCTTTGAATGGCATGTTGGTGTGGATGAAGACCAATAGCTTGGGGACTCACGGAAGGCATTGCTGTTCTACTTGCCTTCTTGCTCTTTCTTGAAGGAACTAAGGTAAAAAAAATCTCAGTTCTCCAATACTCCTTTTTTCAGGACAAAATGAGAGCAGCTGGGAGCCAAGTCAGTAAGTCAGGTACTCTTGTGTAGTTTGGGATCAAAACAGCTTTATTTTTCTTGCACCCAGCCCACTCAGACTGGGCAGGAAAAGTGGGAATATCTGATGTATATGGGACAGAGGAGGAGAAGGTTGTCTATTTAATAATAATAATTCCTCAAGGGCAAAGTCAGAGCACCATGATAGAGTCCTTGCTTGCAAGAACTGCAGTCTTTTTAGCTTGGTAAATTATGGAGCTTTGCTTCTCTTTCTGTCTTGTGATTCTGTGGTCCCATCAGTAGGGCAATTGTATAAGCAAGGCCTGTAGGCTGCAAGGAATGAGTATAGGGCCATTGACAACCCCTTAAATGCTACTTGCTGTGTTCTGGGGTGGCTCTTGAGTGCCTCCTGAATCACATCATAACTCAGGGGAAGGATGCAGGAATGAGGCTGTATTGCCACCCTTTTTGGAAAGCCAAATGGCTTCTGACAATGTAGGGAATAAGCTGGGGAAGAGTTTTCTGTAAAATCA